TTTTGTAATTTTAGTAGAGATGGGGTTTTGCTATTTTGGCCAGGCGCGTCTCAAACTCCTGGCCTCAAGTGGCCTTGGCCTCTCAAAGTGCTGGGATTATAGGTGTGAGCCACCATGACCGGCCAAAACTATAACTTTTTTTTTTTTTGAGACAGAGTCTTGCTCTGTCACCAGGCACCAGGCTGAAGTGCAATGGTATGATCTTGGCTCACTGCAACATCCGCCTCCCGGGTTCAAGCAATTCTCCTGCTTCAGCCTCCCAAGTAGCTGGGACTACAGGTGTGTGCCACCATGCCCAACTATTTTTTGTATTTTAGTGTAGACAGGGTTTCACTATGTTGGCCAGGATGTTCTCGATTTCTTGACCTCGTGATCCACCTGCCTTGGCCTAAAACTATAACTCTTAAAAGAAAATATAGGCATAAATCTTTCATGATCCTGGATTTGACAATAATTTCTCAGCTATAACACCAAATAAACACACACACACACACACACACACACACACACACCCCTCCATCAAAATTAAAATTTTTTTCTTGAAATGACACTATTAGAAAAGTGAAAAGATGACCCACCAATTGGGAGAAAATATTTACAAATCATACACTTATTAAGGGTCCAGTATCCAGAACATATAAAGAATATTTACAACTCAACAATAAAAAGACAACCAAGCTTAAAAGGGACAATGAATATGAATAGATATTTCTACAAAGAAGATATACACATGGCCAAGAAGCACATGAAAAGATGCTCAATGTATTAGTTTGTTCTTACACTTTTTTTCCCCACCCAAATCTCATCTTGATGTTTTGCACTTCTATAAAGAAATGCTTTTCCATAGGCTGTTGCTGTTAAATGATGGCAAAAGAAAGAAAGAAAGAGAAAAGAAAAGAAATAGAGAAAGAAAGGAAAGAAAGCAAGGCAGGCTTGCTTCGTACTAGGTAATTTACAAAGAAAAGAGGTTTAACTGGCTCATGGTTCCACAGATTGTAAAGGAAGCATGGCTGGGGAAGCCTTAGGAAACTTAAAATAATGACAAAAGGCAAAGGGGAAGCCGGCACTTCTTATGTGGCAGAAGCAGAAAGAAGAGAGTGAGGTGAGAGGTGCTACACACTTTTCAATAACCAGATTTCATGAGAACTCACTCATGAGAACAGCATCAAAGGGGAAATCCACCCCCATGATCCAATCACCTCCCACCAGGCTGGGGATACACCAACACTGGGGATACACTTTGACATGAGATTTGGGTGGGGACACAGACTCAAACCTTATCATTCTGCCACTTGGCCCTCCCAAATCTCATGTCCTTCTCACATTTCAAAATAGAATCATGCCTTTCCAACAGTCCCCCAAAGTCCTAACTCATTCCAGCATTAACTCAAAAGCTTCGAAGTCTAAAGTCTAATCTGAGACAAGGCAAGTCCCTTCTGCCTATGAGCCTATAAAAACAAAAACAAGCTAGTGACTTCTGGCTGGGCATGGTGGCTCACACTTGCAATAACAGCACTTTTGGAGGCTGAGGTGGGCAGATCATCTGAGGTCAGGAGTTTGAGACCAGTCTGGCCAACACGGTGAAACCCCATCTCTACTAAAAATACAAAAATTAGCCACATGCAGTGGCACATGCCTGTAATCCCAACTATTTGGGATGCTGAGGTGTGAGAATTGCTTGCACCTGGGAGACAGAGGTTGGGGTGAGCTGAGATTGTGCCATTGCACTCCAGTTTGGGCAACTGGAGCAACACACCATCTCAATTAAAAAAAAAGGCCGGGTGTGGTGGCTCACGCCTATAATCTCAGCACTTTGGGAGGCCAGGGTGGGCAGATCACTTATAGTCAGGAGCTCGAGACCAGCCTGGCCAACATGGTGAAACCCTGCCTCTACTAAAAACACAAAAATTAGCTGGGTGTGGTGGCAGACACCTGTAATCCCAGCTACTTGGGAGGCTAAGACAGAATCATTTGAACCTGGGGTGGAGATTGCAGTGAGCTGAGATCACGCCACTGCACTCCAGCCTGGGTGACAGAGTGAGACTCCGTCTGAAACAAACAAACAAACAAACAAGCAAAACAAGTTAGTGAGTTGACTTCCGAGATATAATGGAAATACAGGCTTTGGGTAAATACTCTCATTCCAAAAGGGAGAAAGCCAAAAGAAAGAGGCTACAGGCTCCGCGCAAGTTCAAAATCCACCAGGGCAGTCATTAAATCTTAAAGCTCCAAAATAATCTCCTTCGACTCTATGTCTCACTTGCAGCCCTCACTGATGCAAAGGGTGGGCTCCCAAGACCTTGGGCAGCTCTGCCCTTGTGGTTCTGCAGGGCTCAGCTATCATGGCTGCTCTCAAGGGCTGGTGTTCAGTTCCTGTGGCTTTTCTAGGTGCACAGTGCAAGTTGTCAGTGTATCTACCATTCTGGAGTCTGGAGGATGGCGGCCCTCTTTTCACAGCTCCACTAGGCAGTGCCCCAGTGGGGACTCTCTGTAGGGGCTCCAACCCCACATTTCCCCTCTGCATTGCCCTAGTAGAGGTTCTTCATGAGGACTCTCCCTCTGCATCAGACTACTTCTGCCTGAACATCCAGGCTTTTCCATACATCTTCTGAAATCTAGGCGGAGGCTTCCAAGCTACGACTTGTTTACTCTGCACACCTGCAGTTGTAAAACACGGAAGATACCAAGGTTTATGGGATGCACCCTCTGAAGCAGCAGCCTAAGTACCTGGGGCCTTCTGAACCTCAGCTGGAGCAGCTGCACCTGAGACTGTGCAGGGCAGCAGAGGCCTGGGCCTGGCCTTTGAAACCATTCTTTCCTTCTAGGCCTGGGAACCTGTGACCAGAAAGGGCTTCCAGGAAGGTCTCTGAAATGACTTCAGGGTACTCCCCTTCCTTTTAGTTATGCAAATTTCTGCCACATCCTTCAACTCCTCCTCTGAAAATGGGTTTTTCTTTTCTACAACATGGCCAGGCTGCCAATTTTCCAAACTTTTATGCTCTGCTTCCCTTTTAAATATAAGTTCCTGTTTCAGGTAATTTCCTTGTTCATGCATGTGATAGGTTTTTAGAGGCAGTCAGGCCACATCTGAAATGCTTTGCTGCTTAGAAATTTCTTCTGCCAGATACCCAAAATCACCTCTTTCAAATTAAAAGTTTCACAGATTTCTTACAGCAGGGGCAAAATGCTGCCAGGTTCTTTCCTAACACATAACAAGAGTGACCTTTGCTCTAGTTTCCAACAAGTTCCTCATCTCCTTATGAGACCTCCATCAGCCTGGTCATGTTTGTCCATTATCACTATCAGCATTTGGTCAAAAACATTCAACAAGTCTCTAGGAAGTTCTAACTTTCCCTCACCTTCCTGTCTTCTTCTGAGCCCTCCAAATTGTTCTAGTCTCTGCCTGTTACCCAATTCCAAAGCTGCTTCCACGTTTTCAGGTATCTTTACAGCAATGCCCCACCTCCTGATACCCATTTTCTATATTACTCCATTCTTGTACTGCTGTAAAAAAAATACTTGAAACTGGGTAATTCACAAAGAAAAGAGGTTTAATTGACTCACAGTTCTGCAGGCTGTACAGGTGGCATGGCTAGGCATGCCTCAGGAAACTTACAATCATGGCAGAAGAAAAATGGGAAGCAGGCATGTCTTACATGGCCAGAGCAGAAGGAAGTCAGAGAGGTAGGAGGTGCTAACCCCCACGCTTTTTTTCTGAGACAGGGTCTCACTCTGTTGCCCATGCTGGAGTGCAGTGGTGTGATCTCAATCACACAACTCACTGCAATCTCCACCTCCTGGGTTCAAATAAATCTCTTGCCTCAGCCTCCCACGTAGCTGGGATTACAGGCACCTGCCACCACACCCAGCTAATTTGTTTTGTATTTTTAGTAGAGATAGGGTTTCACCATGTTGGCCAGGCTGGTCTCAAACTCCTGACTTCAAGTGATCCACCTGCCTTGGCCTCCCAAAGTGCTGGGATTACAGCTGTGAGCCACTGCTCCTGGCTTGGTGCTACAGACTGTTAAACAACCAGATATCATGATAATTCACTCACTATTACAAGAATAGGACCAATGGGGAAATCCATTCCCATGATCCAATCACATCCCCCTAGGCCCCACCTCCAACACTGTGGATTACAATTTGACGTGAGATTTGAGTGGGGACACAGACTCAAACCAAATCACTCAACATCTTCAATCATTAAGGCAATGCAAATTAAAGGCAAAATGAGTTACCACTTCATATCTACTAGAATTATATCAACTATTTTTTTTAAAAAGCCAAACAGGCCTTTTTTAAAAACAGACCTGTTGTTTTGAACAGGGGGTGGCTCACACCTGTAATCGCAGCACTTTGGGAGGCCAAGGTGGGAAGATCACCTGAGGTCAGGAGTTTGAGAGCAGCTTGACCAACATGGAGAAACCCTCTCTCTACTAAAAATACAAAATTAACTGGGCGTGGTGGCACATGCCTGTAATTCCAGCTACTTGGGAGGCTGAGGCTGGAGACTCGCTTGAACCCAGGAGGCAGAGGTTGTGATGAGTTGAGATCAGGCCATTGCACTCCAGCCTGGGCAACAAGAGAGAAACTCCATCTCAAAACAAAAACAAAAACAAAGAATAGCAAGTGTTGGTGAAGATGTGAAGAAATTGTAACCCTCATACATTACTGGTGGGAATGTAAAATGGTACACCTGCCTTGGAAACAGTCTGACAATTTCTCAAAAATAACTTCAAAAGGTTAAATATAGATTTATTATATTACCCAACCATTTTGCTTCTGAGGCATATACCTAAGAGAAAAGAAATATATATTCATATAAAAGCTTGTACAAGAATGTTCATAGCAGCATTACTCATAAAGCCAAAAAAATGGAAACAACCCAAAGGTTCATTAAGAGATAAGAGATAAATAAATGAACAAAATGTGGTATATTCATATGATGGAATATTATTCAGCTATTAAAAATATGGGCTGGGCATGGTGACTCATACCTGTAATCCCAAAACTTTGGGATGCTGAGGTGGGAGATTGCTTGAGCCTAGGCGTTCAAGACCAGCCTGTGCAACATAGAGAGACCCTGTCTCTACAAAAAATAAAAATAAAAAAATTAGAAGGGTGTATGGTGGTGTATGCCTATAGTTACAGCTACTTGGGAGGCTGAGGTGGAAGGATTACTTAGCCCAGCAGTTTGAGGCTACAGAGAGCTAGGAACTCACCACTGCACTCCAACTTGGGCTACAGAGCAAGACCACGTCTCAAAGAAAAAAAGCAAACAAACTCAGATTGTGTCTGAAAAAAAAAAAAATGAAATATTGATTAATGCTGCAACATGGATGAACGTTGAAAGAAGCCAGATAGAGACCACACACTTTATGACTGTATTCATATGTCCAGGAGAGGCAAATGTCCAGAAAAGGCAGATCCACTGAGACAGAAGTAGATTAGTGGTAAATTGTCAGGAGATGAGGGAGGGTGAAATGGGGAATGACAGCCAATGGTCATGTGGTTTCATTTGGGTGTGATGAAATTGTTCTGAAATTAGATAGTGGTGATGATTGTACAACCACTGAATTGTACACATTAAATTGAATCTTGAGGTATGTAAGATATATCTCAAATTGGATTTTTTTTTCTGAGACAGTCTTGCAATGTCACCCAGGCTGGAGTGCAGTGGCACGATCTTGGCTCACTGCAACCTCCATCTCCTGGGTTAAAGTGATTCTCCTGCCTCATCCTCCTAAGTAGCTGAGATTACAGGTGCTGACCACCCACCTGGCTAATTTTTTGTATTTTTAGTAGAGATGGGGTTTCATCATGTTGGTCAGGCTGGGGATTTTGTTTTTTGAGACAGAGTCACACACCTCCTAAATTCAAGTGATTCTCCTGCCTCAGCCTCCTCAGGAGAGTAGCTGGGATTACAGGTGCACACCATCACACCGAACTAATTTTATTTTTAGTAGAGATAGGGTTTTGCCATGTTGGCCGGGCTGGTTTCAAACTCCTGACCTCAAGTGATCCACCAGTCCTGGCTTCCCAAAGTGCTGGGATTATAGGCATGAGCCACCATACCCGGCCTGAGGTATTTAAGTTATACCTCAATAAAAAAATTTCTTAAAAAATGTAATAATCTTGGGTCAGGTATTAAGTGAAGTTCTACAGATTTAAATTCTGTGATCAATCAGGACTATGGAGTTCATATGCTATTTGCAAGCTCACAACCAAAGACATGTTTGAAAACAAACTGGAAAATTTCCTACCTTAGACAGTGTTCTAGTTCTATAATTCGTTCAGTTAAATCCCAGTTGCCTCTTTCAAGACTCTGAATATTGGTGTTTCTCAAATATTTAATTCTGGTTAGAGAAGCAGTAAGTTCCTGTAGGTCCTTGATACTAACTTTCAGGGACATTATCCGGAACGACTGTTGCACATTATTTTCTTTGTAACTTTCTAGCTCAGTCTTTAACTTTTGCAGTGAAATTTCTTTTATGAAAAGTTTATTCTGAAGATTTCTTAGCTAATGAGGAAGGGAAAGTGTTAAAATCATTTGTAATTTTGTTTTTAAAAACTTCATGATGTTAAGTCACATTTAAGTTTAATAATTAAAAACATTTATTAGTTTTGAGGCACAGTCTCAATCTGTCACCCAGTCTGGAGTACAGTGGCAATCACAGCCCACTGCAGCCTTGACCTCCCAGGCTCAAGTGATCCTCCCATCTCAGCCTCCCCCAGTGGCTGGGACTACAGGCAGATGTCACCACACCTGGCTAATTTTTTAAATGATTATTTGTAGAGACAGGTTCTCACTATGTTGTCAGGCTGGTGTTGAACTCCTAAGCTCAAGAGATCCTCCTGCCTCAGCCTCCCATAGTGTTGGGATTATAGGCATAAGCCACCTTGCTCTGCTGCTATTAACGTGTTTTTTTTTTTTTTGAGACAGGTGCCCAAGTTGGAGTACAGTGCTGTGACGTTGGCTCCCTGCAGCCTCTGGCTCCTGGGTTCAAGCAATTCTCATGCCTCTGTAGATTGGCTTACAGGTATATGCCACTATACCTGGCAAATTTTTGTATTTTTAGTGGAGATGGGATTTAACCACATTGGCCAGGCTGCTATCGAACTCCTGACCTTAAATTATCCACTTGACTTGGCCTCCCAAAGTGCTGGATCACAGGTGTAAGCCACTGCACCCATCCTGCTATTAACTTTCAATTTAATTTGCTTTTCTTTTTAAAGACGGGGTTTCGCCATGTTGGTCAGGCTGGTCTTGAACTCCCAACCTCAGGTGATCCGCCCGCCTTGGCCTCCAAAGTGCTTGGATTACAGGCATGAGCCACCACGCCCGGTCAATTTAATTTGTTAGTTCAAATTTTTTAAGAGTCTGCATGTAATCTGGAGAACTAGTAAGAGAGTAGATAGTGGGGAATGGGGGGTTGGGGAGGGATAACATGGGGAGAAATGCCAGATATAGGTGATAGGGAGGAAGGCAGCAAACCACATTGCCATGTATGTACCTATGCAACAATCCTGCATGTTCTTCACATGTACCCCAAAACAATGCAATAAAATATAAAAACAAAAAGAGAGAGAGAGAGTAGAAAAAAAGCAAACAAATTTGGGACACTGTAAAAGATTACCAGCTTGATAACAAGAAAAAGTTCAGAAACATTTTGTATTTGACAAAAAATTACATTAATTAGAAACTGTATTTCCTAGCAGCAAAGGCTGTTTGAAGACCAATCATTTTATCTATCTATCTATCTTTGAGACAGAATCTCACTCTGTTGCCCAGGTTGGAGTGAAGTGGCATGCTCTCAGCTCACTGCAACCTCTGTCTCTTGGGTTCAAGAAATTCTCCTGCCTCAGCTCCTCCAGCAGCTGGGATAACAGGTGTGCACCACCACGCCCGGCTAGTTTTTGTATTGTTAGTAGAGACAGTATTCCCAAAGTGCTGGATTATAGGTGTGAGCCACCGGGCCCAGCCAAGTATATAACATTTCTGAACTCACATTTTAGAAATGGAAAAGAGATTAGAGGTTGTCAATAGTTGGAAGTGACAAGGAAGTGGATGTGAATACAGAAGGGCTACCTGAAGGATATTTGTGATGTTAGAACTGTTCAGTATGTTCACTTGTTATATAGAAATTAATACACAAACGCACAATTGAGTACAAGTGAAACTGGGTAAATCCGAATAAGCCCAGTGGATTGTATTAAAGTCAATATTCACGCTGTTATATTAGACTATAATTTTGCAAAATGTTACCTTTGGGAGAAATGGGGCAAAGCTTACAAGAGATACATCTGAATTATTTTTTATAATTGCAAGTGAATCTACAATTATCTCAGTAAAAATTTCAATTAAAAATGAGAACAGGCCGGGCACAGTGGCTCACACCTGTAATCCCAGCACTTTGGGAGGCTGAAGCGGGCGTATCATTTGAGGTCAGGAGTTCAAGACAAGCCTGACCAATATGGAGAAACCCCATCTCTACCAAAAATACACATACACACACAAAATAGCCAGGTGTAGTGGCATACACCTGTATTCCCAGCTACTTGGGAAGTTGAGGCAAGAGAACCGCTTGAACCTGGGAGGCAAAGGTTGTAGTGAGCTGAGATTGTGCCACTGCCCTCCAACCTGGGCAACAGAGCAAAACTCCATCTGAAGAAAAAAAAAGGTAACAATAGGTTGTGAGGTATTTTTCTTCAGCTGAAAAAATTTATATTGCTTCCATTAACTCCCTCCAGAACAGGCTACATCTGCCAGGTTTCTACTCTTTTTGTCTCATGACTACACCATGGCAAAGAAAACATATCTGCATAAACACAATCAAAACCCCTCACAATAAAAGTTTCTCAAACTAAGAAGTGCCAGCAAAAGACTTTACATTTATCTCATTTATTTATTTTTGGGATGGAGTCTCGCTATCGCCCAAGCTAGAGTACAGTGGTGCAATCTAAGTTCACTGCAACCTCTGCCTCCAGATTCAAGCGATCCTTGTGCCTCAACCTCCCAAGTAGCTGGGATTACAGTCATGCGCCAATACATCCAGTTAATTTTTTGTATTTTTAGTAGAGACAGGGTTTCTCCATGTTGGTCAGGCTGGTCTCAAACTCCTGACCTCAAGTGATCCTCTTGCCTCAGCCTCCCGAAATGTTGGGATTTCAGGCATGAGCCATCGTGTCTGACCCATCAGTGACATTTTTTTCTGGTACTTTTACTTATATTTTGGCCATTACAGCCCATCAAGTATTATGCAAGAGTTTTAGCTCAATATCGTATTGCCCAAACTAAATGTCACAATCACCATCTGAATAGGTTAATATTTATCCCCTCTATATCTGGCTTTCTCCAAATATAGCTCTCTTACACCTGTTCCTCCATTGTTGGGCAGAAAAACATGATAATTTTTTTATAGCCCACAAAGAGGCATTTAATTATAACCAAAATTTTAAATGCATGCAGTGAAGAGAAAAACTGCCTTATCAACACAATTGCTTTCTTATGGCATTAAATAATAGGTTATTGGAAAGGAGAAAGATGACTAATGCTGAAGCTCAGGTATTCTACTGAAATCACTAAACTTTAAAAACGTGACTTCAGACCGGGTGCAGTGGTTCATGCCTGTAATCCCATGCCTTTGGGAGGCCAAGGCAGGCAGATCACCTGAGGCTGGGAGTTCAAGAGCAGAGTGACCAACATGGAGAAACCCCGTCTCTAGGAGACGGAGGTTGCAGTGAGCTGAGATTGTGCCATTGTACTCCAGCCCAGGCAATAAGAGCAAAACTCTGTCTCAAAAAAACAAAACAAGACTTCAACATAGGGAAACCCTGTGATGACTGTCATTAATTTTTATTAAATTTGGAAAATTCCAACAGGAGCTATGGAAAACTTTAAAAAATTATGCTACATATTTCTATTTATTTATTTATTTATTTTTTGAAGGAAGATCTTGTTTTATTACCCAGGCTGGAGTGCAATGGCAGGATCTCGGCTCACTGCAACCTCCATCCTCCCTGGCTCAAATCATCCCCCACCTCAGCCTCCTACTGAGTAGCTGGGACTACAGGCATGTGCCATCATGCCAGCTAATTTTTGTATTTTTGGTAGAGATTGTTTTTTGCCATGTTGCACAGGCTGGCCTCAAACTATTGGCCTCAAGCAATCCGTCCACCTTGGCCTCCCAAAGTCCTGGGATTACAGGCATGAATCACTGTACCCAGCCTGGAATACTTTTTAATATATATTCTATCGAAAACAAGTCAAAATGAGACCCTGTAGAACCTTTGAGACATCTGCTTTGACAAACAGATTTAAAAAATTGTGGCTCAAGCCTGTAATTCCAGTACTTTGGGAGGCCGAGGCTGGTGGATCACATAAGGTCAGGTGTTCGAAACCAGCCTGGCCAACATGGTGAAAACCCGTCCCTACTAAAAATACAAAATCAGGGCCGGGCGCGGTGGCTCAAGCCTGTAATCCCAGCACTTTGGGAGGCCGAGGCGGGTGGATCACGAGGTCAACAGATCGAGACCATCCTGGTCAATATGGTGAAACCCCATCTCTACTAAAAATACAAAAAATTAGCTGGGCACAGTGGCACGTGCGGGTAATCCCAGCTACTCAGGAGGCTGAGGCAGGAGAATTGCCTGAACCCAGGAGACTGAGGTTGCGGTAAGCCGAGATGGCGCCATTGCACTCCAGCCTGGATAACAAGAGCGAAACTCCGTCTCAAAAAAAAAAAAAAAAAAAAAAAAAAAATATATATATATATATATATATAAAATTAGCCTAGGCGTGGTGGCGCATGCCTGTAATCCTAGCTACTTGGGAGGCTGAGGCAGAAGAATCATTTGAACCTGGGAGGCAGAGGTTGCAGAGAGCCAAGTTTGTGCCTCAGCACTCCAGCCTGGGCAACAAGAGTGAAACTCCATTTCAAAAAAAAAAAAAAATGTATTAAAAAGAAAAGAAAAAAAAATTTAATGAGCAAATAATTTATCTGCATGTACAGAGCTCCTTTTAAAAAATATTTTTGGGCCGGGCGCGGTGGCTCACGCCTGTAATCCCAACACTTTGGGAGGCCAAGGCGGGTGGATCACTAGGTCAAGAAATCGAGACCATCCTGGTCAACATGGTGAAACCCTGTCTCTACTAAAAATACAAAATTTAGCTGGGCATGGTGGCGCAGCCTGTAGTCCCAGCTATGCGGGAGGCTGAGGTAGGAGAATTGCTTGAACCCAGGAGGCGGAGTTTGCGGTGAGCCGAGATCACGCCATTGCACTCCAGCCTGGGTAATGAGAGCAAAACTCCGCCTCGAAAAAATATACATATATTGGAATTCTTGAAACTAGCTTACATATTTTCTTTAAACAAAAGACCTACAATTTTTTTTGACAACTTGGTTTAAAAAGTTTTTAATCATGGCTGGGTGCAGTGGCTTATACCTGTAATCCCAGCACTTTGGGAGGCCAAGGCAGGCAGATCACAACATCAAGAGATCGAGACCATCCTGGCCAACCTGGTGAAACCCCTCCTCTAATAAAAATACAAAAATTAGCTGGGCATAGTGGCGTGTGCCTGCAGTCCCAGCTACTTGGGAGATGGAGGCAGGAGAATAGCTGGAACCTGGGAGATAGAAATTGCAGTGAACTGACATCGCACCACTGCACTCCAGCCTGCTGACAGAGTGAGACTCCATCCAAAAAAAAAAAAAAAGTTTTTAATGAATTATGCATAGACATAAATCTTAATCTAATCCAAATCTGAATTATCAAACTTATAAGTAAACAACTTAATATTAGGAGTAAGTTAATACTATAATAAGTAGAGGCAAAGAAGAATGCTACCCGTAATTAAATTGCTATACTTTTTGGGGATTGGCATCACATTTTTCTGAAAGAAAAGACAAATGTAAGAAATCTCTCAAAAAACAAAAATAAAAAAGAAATCTCTCAAAGGTCTCATCAGATATATTGTATCTATACAAGTTCCATTTCAGTTTAAGCTTTATTTGCTGTTCTGTGTCAAAAGAGAGAAAACATTAGCATAAGTAAAATGGAAATAAATATAAATATATCTATAGATATAGATAGATTTACCCATAAAGCTTTATCTATACTTATATTGACATAGTTTGGCTCTGTGTCCCCCTTCAAATCTCATGTTGAACTGCGATACTGAGTGTTGCAGGTAGGGCCTGGTGAGAGGTGATTGGATCCTGGGGGCAGATCTTCCCCTTGCTGGTCTTGTGACAGTGAATGAGTTCTCATGAGATCTGGTTGTTCAAAGTGTGTAGCACCTCCCCTTTCACTCTCTCTTTCCTGCTCTGCCATGGTAAGACTTCTTGCTTCCCTTTCACCTTCCACCATGATTCTAAGTTTCCTGAGGCCTCCCAGACATGCTTCCTGTACAGATTACAGAACCGTTAGTTAACTAAACCTCTTTTCTTCATAAATTATCCAGTCTCAGGTAGTTCTTTATAGCAGTGTGAGAATAGATACATGCATCTATTTCAATGAAACCTGGAATCAGGCTACTGATAGATGAGATAGCAGAACATAATTGTAATAAGGTCTTGAGCAAAAAAGAGGCTAAAAGAAATAAGGGTGCTGTTATGAGCTAGGTTTGAGTTTCTCTCAAAATTTATGTATTGAAGTCTTAACTCTGAGCACCTCAGAGTGTGCCTGTATCCAGAAGAGTGTTGAAGGAGGTAGTTAAGTTAAAATTTAATCATTAGGGTAGAATCATGGACAATTAGTGGACTGATGAATCATTAGCCCAATATGACTGGTGTTCTTTTAAGAGGAAGAAATTCAAACACAAATTTGAAAACCACCTGAAGACAAAATAAGAAGACTGCTGTCTTAAGTCTGTTCCTGTTGCTATAAAGGAATACCTGGCTGGGTGTGGCGGCTCACGCCTGTAATCCCAACACTTTGGGAGACAGAGGTGGGTGGATCGCCTGAGATCAGGAGCTTGATACCAGCCTGGCCAACATGGTGAAACCCTGTCATTACTAAAAATATAAATATTAGCCAGGCGTGGTGGCCTGAGCCTATAGTGCCATTTACTCTGGAAGCTGAGACAGGAGAATTGCTTGAACCTGGGATGGGGAGGTTGCAGTGAGCTGAGATCACACTACTGCACTCCAGCCTGGGTGACAGAGCGAGACTCCGTCTCAAAAAAAAGGAATACCTGAGACTGGGTAATTTATTTATGTATTTATTTTAAAAGGTTTATTTGTGGCCCATGATTCTGCTGGCTGGAAGATGGGGCATCTGGTGAAAGCTTTAGACAGCTTCTGCTCATGGTGGAAGGCAAAGGGGAGCCAGCATATATAGAGGTCACACGGCAAAAGCAAGAGAGAGAGGAGGGAAGTGCCAGGCTCCTTTGAACACCCAGGACTCTCAAGAACTAAAAGAATGAGAATTCAGCTGGGCACAGTGGCTCATGCCTATAATCACAGCACTTTGGGAGACCAAGGTGGGTGAATCACAAAATGAGGAATTTGAGACCAGCCTGGCCAAGATGGTGAAACCCTGTCTCTACTAAAAATACAAAAATTAGCTGGATGTGATGGTGTGCACCTGTAATGCTAGCTACTTGGGAGTCTGAGGCTGGAGAATCCCTTGTACCCAGGAGGCTGAGGTTGCAGTGAGCTGAGATTATGCCAGTGCACTCCAGCCTGGTGGCAAAACAAAACAAAACAAAACAACCAATGACAATGGCCTTTAAGCTTCCAGCCATGGTTATCTGTAAGACTGTCTTTTGCAACAAATATATGGAGAATAGTTAGATTCAACTAAAGAATTTTTATGAGCACTCTCTACTCTTCAACATAGAGCATAAAAGTCAAGGCATTTCCTATAAATGTGATTTATTTCTTTTACATTCATTGATGTCACTCAGATGTTTCATTATTTATTAAATAAAACTAGCGGATATTTGCTGTATGGTAGTATATTGAAAATACAAAATCATCCTTTCCATTACAATGTTTAATACATGTAATTGATTATCATTGTTGTATAAGTTTTGAGCACGTAGTCCATGAGCAATGTTCTAACACTTCAGCATTTGGCAGTCAACTCAAAAGCATTTAACTATGTATTATGCTCAAAGAGCGTTCTCTGGCAAGAGGCAGATTTGGGTATAAATTAGTGCTCCTCAGTAATGAGAGAGTTCAATATTGAGAATAGAGCAAAACTGAGTTAATACTGTGAGTCCTTTATCCAAATGTTTTGCTCCCTACTTTTACAGAGGATATGATTTCCCAGAGTGTTTTGTTTATAGATAATCTACCTCAGCTAAAAGATTCTTGTTTTTCACCAACAAACCAGCAAGCTCAGAATGGCCTGGGTCACCTGCCCTTTTGTTGCATATGACTGGGTTCCTGGTGGGAACTACTTCAAGAGGTTGATCAGAACAAGCCTATGAAAAGAAATTGTAAATTAATTAGCAAGTCCCCTATAGATCAAAACACACAATGACCTAGACCACACAAATGAAATAAGTAGTTCTAAATAGAGTAAAACTTTAAAGTATTTATTTTGAGGTGCTACTCTAACAAACACAGTAAGTCCCAGGAAAATAGCAAGTAGCATGTTGACCTAAAAGGCTACTTTACATTTTTCTAAAAATCATTACTTACCTGACAACAATTTGTAACAGCAGTCATAAGTAAATGCAGCACATCTAAATAGACATAATTTCTAAGAGCATAGAAATCAAGAAAACATAAATAAAATGTCTAGGGAAATCTTAATTCACACCTAATAAAAACCTGATAGAAATTTGAACCATTAGAAGGGCATTGGTGAAAAATTTACCAGTGTTTGCTATATTTTAGTTACAAATCAATTCCTGGGCACAAAATGATTTTTTAAAAAGTCTGCTTTCAGCATGTCAACATCAATTTTGTGTTTGTGCCACATCTATGTTGGATAAAAATTAAGGAATTCTGGCCAGGCACAGTGGCTCATGCCTATAATCCTAGCACTTTGGGAGGCCAAGGCGGGTGGATCACTTGAGGTCAGGAGTTCAAGACCAGCCTGGCCAACCTGGTGAAACTGTCTCTACTAAAAATACAAAAATTAGCTGGGCATAGTGATAGGCGCCTGAAATCCCAGCTACTTGGGAGCCTGAGGCAGGAGAATTGCTGGAACCTGGGAGGCAGAGGCTGCAGTGAGCTGTGATCGTGCCACTGCACTCTAGCCTGGGTGACAGAGTGAGACTTTGTCTAAAAGAAAAAAAAATTAAAGAATTTTTTCTTTAATTTTTTTCTTCCTGTATTACAGTATCTTTTCCTACCATCAAAAGGGCATACAATGTTCTTCTAAATTCTAATTAGTAAAACTTGCAGTAAGAAAAAGAACTATATAATTCAAACAAAACAAAAAAAAAGTATCAATTAACCTATCACTAGAAGTGTATAAATGGGACAGGTGTAGTGGCTTACACCTGTAATTCCAGCACTTTGGAAGGCTGAGGCAGGAAGATCACCTGAGGCCAGGAGTTCAAGACTAACCTGAGCAACAACAACAACAAATTAGCCAGGCATGACTATAGTCTTGCACCTCAGCAAGGCCTCAGCAAGGATCTCTTCAGCCCAGGTTTGAGTCTGCAGTGAGCCAAGAACAAAGATCACCCCACTGTACTCTAGCATGGGCAACAAAGCAAGACCTTGTCTCTTAAAACGTTTTTTTTTTCATTTATTTTATTTTATTTTTTTAAGATGGGGTTTCACAATGATGGCCAGGCTGGTCTTGAACTCCTGACCTCAGGTGATCCACCTACCTTGGCCTCCCAAAGTGCTAGGATTACAGGCATGAGCCACTGTGCCCAGCCTTAAAAAGTTTTTTAAAATAAAAATTAATTAACTTAAAAAGAAAATATATAAATGCATCACATGATGCTTAATGTACTAAAAAAAACACAAAATATATTTTCTAAATTTATCAGGCTCTGACCTGCATGTCAAATGCAAAAAAAAAAAAAAGAAATCTAAATTTAGCAGGCTTAAGAAATAATTTTGTAACTACTAAGATACTAGGAACAAGGACTTATGCAAGAGAATACAAAATAACTATGTTTAAAGTTTAAAAAAGAGACTACTTTGAAAATATGAATGTCGCTGGGTATGGTGGCTCATGCCTGTAATCCCAGGACTTTGGGAGACTGAGGTGGGCGGATCATGAGGTCAAGAGTTTGAGACCAGCCTGACCAACATGGTGAAACCCCATCTCTATTAAAAATACAAAAATTAGGCTGGGTACGGTGGTTCACACCTGTATTCACAGCACATTGGGAAGGTGAGGTGGGATGATCACAGGGTCTAGATACTGGGACCATCCTGGCCAACGTGGTGAAACCCCGTCTATACTAAAAATATAAAAAATTAGCCGGGCATGGGGGCACATGCCTATAGTCCCAGCTATTTGGGAGGCTGAGGTTGCAGTGAGCTGGGATCACGCCACTGCACTCCAGCCTGGGAACAGAATGAGATTCCGTTAAAAAAAAAAAAAAATTACAGGAGACCACAAAGATTTAAAACATTGGAAAATAACCAAATAAGGCTTCTAGAAGTAAAAAGTATAATCATTTTAATTTGAAGATGGTATGGATATATTAAAAAGCAGCTTAGACACAATTGGAGAACGAGTGAGCTTAAATCTAAAGAAATTATAAAAAAGACAGCATATAGGAAATAATACAGGGTAAATGTAAAGGAGAGTTTAAAGACACAGATAATAAAATGAGAAGGTCTAACATATTTATTTGGAGTCCAAGATGAATGTGATTTAGAGAATGGGGAAGAGGCAATATTTGAAGAAATAATGTCTGAGAATGTAATAGAATTCTTGAAAAACACAAATCCAAGTGGGCTAGAAAATCCCAAGAAGAAAAAATAAAAAGAACTTCTAAAGGCACATACATAGAGTAAGATAGAAGAATAAATTCCATGTTTGATAGCAGAGTAGGGTGACTGGAGTTAACAAAACTATATTGTACTTGGGTGATGAACACCCTGAATACCCTGACTTGATCAGGATGCATTATGTACGTGAACCCCACAAATTTATGCAAATTAAAAAAAAAGCTTGCACAGAAAAAAAAAAGAATTTCTTACCTACACATTCCTAATATAACTGCAGCACACTATCAAAGAAAGACCTTAAAAATTGCCAATGAAAAAGACAGACGATTACAAACAAACAGCAATCAGACTGTGAGTGACTTCTCAAGAGTAACACAGAAGATGGAAAAGAGCTAGAATATATGTAATGTATTAAAAAATACATACCATCTTTCATTGATTTTAGGAGGCACAAATTTTCACATTTTTACATCTCTGCAATTAGGGTACATCTTAAAGCTGATGCCACCCCAGATTGTGAATAGCTTAGTTGAAAATATAATTTTATGTGTTGAAACAGAACCAGTTTCTGTGTGCAAAAACAAAAACAAAAAAAAGAGAGAAACAAACAAAAAAGAAAATATAATTTAAAATTTAATAATGGTACATGAAATTACTATTGTGATTGAAAACACTTGTGTTTCTTGGCTGGGCAAGATGACTTATGTCTGTAATTCCAGCACTTTGGAAGGCCAAAGCAGGCAGATCACTTGAGGCCAGGAGTTCAAGACCACCCTGGCCAATATGGTGAAACCCCCATCTCTACTAAAATACAAAAATTAGCTGGGCATGATGGCACACGCTTGTAATCTCAGCTACTCAGGAGGCTAAGGCATGAGAATCACTTGAACCAGGAAGGCAGAAGCTGCAGTGAGCCGAGGTTGTGCCACTGCACTCTAGTCTCGGCAACAGAGGCTCTATTCCTCCCCACCCACCCCCCAAAAAAAGAGAGAGAGAGAGAAAAGAAAAACACCTTTTTCTTTTCTTTTTTCGAGATGAACTCTCACTCTGTCACCCAGGCTGGAGTAGAATGGTAGAATCTCTGCTCACTGCTACCTCTGCCTCTCAGGTTCAAGCAATTCTCCTGCCTCAACCTACTGAGTAGCTGGGATTTACAGGCACCTACCACCACATCCAGCAATTTTTTTTGTATTTTTAAAAGAGATAGGGTTTCACCATGTTGGTCAGGCTGGTCTCGAACTCCTGACCTCATGATCCGCCCACCTCAGCCTCCCAAAGAGCTGGGATTACAGGTGTGAGCTACTGTGCCCAGACTTGTGTTTCTTAAACCAATGAAATATGTTGTCAACTAGAATTTTATACCGAATGAAATTATATTTTAAGAGTGGAATAAAGATATATATATATTTTTTAATGTTAATTCACTTTATTTTTCTTGTATAAAAACCCTATGTTGTAGCCACAGCTGGAGCTTGGGTCCTCTGCACGGAGACCCTGGTGTGGGTCTTGACAAGGTGGTCAGTGAATTCCTGATAGGGAGACTTGGTGAACACTGTCTCCTTCCAGAGATCGGGGGTCAGGTAGCTGTAAGTCTTAGAGATGGCATCAAAGGTGGCCTTGGCAAAGTTGCCCAAGGTGGCAGTGCAGCCCCTAGCTGAGGTGTAGCAGTCATCGATACCAGCCATCATAAGCAGCTTCTTGGGCACAGGTGCTGAGACGATGCCAGTACCCCTGGGCGCGGGGATGAGACGCACCAGCACAGAACCACAGCGGCCTGTCACCTTGCAAGGGACGGTGTGGGGCTTGCCATCTTGTTCCCCCAGTAGCCTCTGTGCACGGGGACAATGGAGAGCTTGGCCAGGATGATGGCCCCACGGATGGCAGTGGCCACCTCCTTGGAACACTTAACACCCAGACCGACGTGACCATTGTAGTCCCCAATAGCAACAAACGCCTTGAACCTGGTGCGCTGCCCAGCACGGGTCTGCTTCTGCACCGGCATAATCTTCAAAACCTCATCCTTGAGAGAGGCCCCCAGGAAAAAGTCAATGATTTCAGATTCCTTGATGGGCAGAGAGAAAAGATAGATCTCCTCCAGAGATTTAATCTTCATGTCTTTGACCAGGCGGCCCAACTTGGTGACAGGCATCCATTCCTTATCCTCGGCTTTGCCTCCGCGAGCTCCGCGGCCTCGGCCCCGGCCCCGTCCACCGCCGCGACCCCAGCCCCGGCCCCGTCCACGGCCGCGACCCCGGCCCCGGATGCCACTGCCGAAACCTCCGCGGAAGCCACCGCGGTTCCCCATCCCGGGGCCCCCGGGGCCTCCGGGCCCCCCCCACCGCTGCACCGGCGTCATCTGCCATTTGGTGTTTTATTGGAGAAGAAGAAGCGAAATAAAGATATTTTAAACAAACATTGAGTTTATCACAAATAGGCTCTCACTTTAAAAAATTCTAGGGCAGGCTGGGCACGGTGGCTCACACCTGTAATCCCAGCACTTTGGGAAGCTGAGGCGGGCAGATCTCCTGAGGTCAGGAATTCAAGACCAGTTTAGCCAACAAGGCCAAACCCCATCTCTACTAAAAATACAAAAACTCGTCAGGCATGGTGGTGTGCACCTGTAATCCCAGGGCGTTTGATTTTTTTCTTGAGATGGAGTCTTGTTCTGTTACCCAGGCTGGAGTGCAGTGGCACGATCTTGGCTCACTGCAACTTCTGCCTCCTGGGTTCAAGCAATTCTCCTGCCTTGGCCTTCCAAGTAGCTGGGATTATAGGCATATGCCACCACTCCCAGCTAATTTTTGTGTTTTCAGTAGAGATAGGGTTTTGCCATGTTGGCCAGGCTGGTGTCTAACTCCTGGCCTCAAGTGATGCACCCTCCTCGGCCTGGGATTACAAGCATGAGCTACTGGCCCAGCCCAATTCACTTTTAAAATCATAGAATATGAGAAGGTTATTAGATAACAAGAGCAATTTTATGGCACTTTATTATATTTCGAATTCAACCTAGATTTTAATATATCTGAGGTCCAAAAGAAAACATAAAATGTCATTTTAAGCCGGGCGTGGTGGCTCATGCCTGTAATCCCAGCACTTTAGGAGGCCAAGATGGGCAGATCACAAGGTCAGGAGTTCAAGACCAGCCTGACTAACGTGGTGAAACCCCGTCTCTTCTAAAAATACAAATATTAGCGGGGTGTGGTGGTGCACGCCTGTAATCCCAGCTACTCAGGAGGCTGAGGCAGGAGAATCACTTGAACCCCGGAGGTGGAGGTCACAGTGAGCCGAGATTGTGCCACTGCACTATAGTCTGAGCGACAGAGTAAGACTCTGTCTCAAAAAAAACCTCATTTTAAAATTTACTTATTGTAAATTTAAGCTTTTAATTTTAAGATTTATTTAAAATAAAGTTCATAGTTCAATAAATTGAAAATAATATTACAATTATGGGCGCAGTGGCTCACGCCTGTAATCCCAGCACTTTGGTAGGCCAAGGTGGGTGGATCACCTGAGGTCAGGAGTTCAAGACCAGCCTGACTAACATGGTGAAACCCTGTTTCTATTAAAAATACAAAAAATTATCTGGGTGTGGTGGCATGCGCCTGTAATCCCAGCTACTCGGGAGGCTGAGGCAGGAGAATCACTTGAACCTGCAAGGCGGAGTGAGCCGAGATTGCAACATTAAGCTTGGGAAACAAGAGCAAAACTCCGTTTCAAAAAGAAAAAAAAAAGTTTACAATTATTTCACTAATATAAACTCTAATTTTACAACATATGGATTTATATATATATATTATTATTACTACTACAATTATTTGAGATAGTCTTGCTTGTCCAGGCTGGAGTGCAGTGGTGCAATCTTGTAGCTGGGTCTCCCAGAGTAGCTGGATTTACAAGTGAGTGCACCTGCCCAGCTAACTTTTCTTTCTTTTTTTTTTTTTGAGATATAGTCTCGCTCTGTTGCCCAGGCTAGAGTGCAGTGGCATGATCTGGGTTCACTGCAATCTCTGCCTCCTGGGTTCAAGTAATTCTCTCCTTCATGACATTGCATTCCAGCCTTGGGAACAAGAGTGAACCTCTGTCTCAAAAAAACAAACAAACAAAAAAGCCACCAAGAGGAGGAAATAAAACTCCCCCAGTAGTCTTCCCTCCTTTCCTCAGCTTTCTTCACCCAGAATTCACCTCATCGGAGATACAAACAAGACAGGGTGGATTTTTCCAGTGGTCTTAAAAATATCTATGCCAGGGATGTCATCTGATCCAAGAGAATATTTAATTTCCAGAAAGATTCTCATTAGGATCTAGCCCTAATAAAACAAAACTACAAACCAAGGTGGCAATATGGTGCACTAGAAAAATAACAGAAGTTGCCAGGAGAGGTGGCTCATGCCTGTAATCCCAGCATTTTGAGAGGCTGAGGTGGGCAGATCACCCGAGGTTGGAAGTTCAAGACCAGCCTGACCAACATGGAGAAACCCTGCCTCTACTAAAAATACAAAATCAGCCAGGTGTGGTGGCACATGCCTGTAATCTCAGCTACTCAGGAAGCTGAGGCAGGAGAATTGCTTGAACCCAGGAGGCGGAGGTTGCCGTGAGCCGAGATCACACCATTGCACGCATGGGCAACAAGAGGAAAACTGCTTCTAAAAAGAGAAAGAAAGAAAGAAAGAAAGAATTTTGCCACTAATCACGATGGCTTCTCTCTGGTATTGTTTTCTAATCTGCAAAATTATGAATTAGATTAAACTAACTGGAGACCCTTTATAGCCTATTTTTGTTGTTTTATTGTTTTGAGATTGTGGGCCTCAACAAAATGTCAGAACCACCAAAATGGCAAAAATAAATAAAATCTATTTGAGGTTCCATTAAATTCAGATGTTTCATTGCTTCTTGTTCTAGAGTCATCCAAAAGGTGTGAGAACATTTGACCTCATCTCTTGCATCATTCACTAGCAAAGATGTTAAGGGTACTAGCATAGGCAAATGGGAAAACAGAACTGGACTTTCCCTTTCTTATAGCTCTTATATTTTTAATAGAGATAGGGTTTTGGTTATACAGGAGAATATTTAATCCCCACCTTCTGAGAACAGGGAAAAATGAATGCCAGAATACAACTCACCACTTGGCTGTTTTTCTGAGATGTGTGAGCTGGTAGATGCCTGGCTTCTGATGGCTTAGCCTCATGGGGCCCATTGGTTTGCCCAGTAGCAAGCCTTCCTGGATCTGAGTGGTTTAAAAACTGGAGAGGGCCTGACATGCTGTAGATTCAAGAAGCATGAAATAGATCCAGTAATGATGACCCAAAGTATTTAAAAGGAATGTTTGCACAGACCAGTCAGGAAGAGATGCTGAGATCTGCTCAGTACCAACAGCAATGCCTTCTGGAAGGTTTCACTTCAGATCCTCAGTGCTTACTAGACCTCAGAAGGAGCTACTTGCTGAACCTGTTGCTTGAAGACAAGGCAGACCTAGTTTCTAAGAAAGCATGAAAACACTGTTAAGATTGTAACTGGTTGAAGCAGCCTACTAATATACATATATGCACTTGTAACACACTTAAATGCTATTAGGTTGGTGCAAAAGTAATTGCAGGTTTTACCATTAAAAGCAATGGCAAAAGTTATTAATTTTAATTAATATTTTTCAGTTATTATTAAAAGTAATTGCAAAGCCCTGGATTACTTTTGCACCAACCTAATACTTACGAATCATATCTTCAGATATCTGACTTGCATATATCTTCATTTTCAATTTCTTGATCAGAAATGCTAACTATATCCCTCAAGATTCAGCCAAAAGATTAAAAGTCAAAATAGTTAATAATGCAGCATCATAGCTCATAGTTTTCTTTCTGCCCCAGAGAAATGTAAAATACAACCTCACATAATTTTTATTTTTTTGAGATGGAGTCTTGCTCTGTCACCCAAGCTGGAGTGCAATGGTGCGATCTCAGCTCCCTGCAACCTCCACTTCCCAGGTTCAAGTGATTCTCCTATCTCAGCCTCCCAAGTAGCTAGGATTACAGGCACCTGCCACCACGCCCAACTAATTTTTGTATTTTTAGTAGAGACGGGGTTTCACCAGGTTGGCCAGGCTGGTGCCTCACATAATTTTTATAAATTCAATTTCCCAAGAATTTCATTAAATCTTTTCTCTACTTAGTTCAATTCCATATTCTTTAGTCTCTAAAGTGAAATTAAAAGGAATAGAGAAAAAGTATCTTCCAAATTAATGTTCATATGATTTATTAAGCAATGGATAGAGAGTTTGGCTAGGCACAGTGGCTCACACCTGTAATCCCAGCACTTTGGGAGGCAGAGGCAAGAGGATCACTTGAGCCCAGGAATTCAAGATCGGCCTAGGCAAGATAGTGAGACACGATCTTCATAAAAAACTTAAAAAAGAAAAAAAATAGCTGGGCATGGTGGCAAGCACCTGTGGTCCCAGCTACTCAGGAAGCTGAAGCAAGAGAATCACTTGAGGCCAAGAAGTCAAGGCTGCACAGAGCTGTGATTGTGCCACTGGATTTCTTTTTTTTAAGATCAAAGAATGTACTCTGGAAAAAAAAAAAAAAGTGGCATTTAGAAACTGTGTAATGGAGGGGTTGAATGTAAGTACCGTGTGTTTTCTTTGCTGGGCGGTGTCTCCCAGAAAATTGAACAGGCCCAACATGAGAGGAATTTTCATAAGAGAAGGAAAAAAAATCAGGATTATGTGATTTGAGGGATGTGGAACAGGAAGCATAGGGCCTGACTTTCTTTTACTAATCCTGAAATCTGTTTTGAAATTTCTCTAATTCATTCTAGGTGTTATGCTAGGTATTGGTATACCTAATTCATTCTAGGTGTACTAGGTATTAGGTGTACCAATACCTAATTGGTATTGGCAATTATTAAAGTGTAAATAACTCTAGGCTGGATGTGGTGGCTCATGCCTGTAATCTCAGCACTTTGGGAGGCAGAGGTGGACAGATCTCTTGAGCCCAGGAGTTTGAGACCAGCCTGGGCAATATGGTGAAATCTCATCTCTATACATGAAAAAGCACAAAAATTAGCCCAGCTGCTCAGGATGCTGAGGTGGGAGGATCGCTTAGGCCCATGACTTCAAGGCTGTAGTGAGCCATAATGGAGCCACTGCACTCCAGCCTGGGTGGCAGAGTGAGACCTTGTCTCAAACAAAATAAAATGAAAATAAAAACAACAAAAATAAATATTTCTTTTTTTTTTTTTTTTCTTTATAAAGATGGGGTTTCACCATGATGGCCAGGCTGGTCTTGAACTCCTGACCTCAGGTGATCCACCCACCTCGGCCTCCCAAAGTGCTAGCCACAGGTGTGAGCCACAGTGCCCAGCCAAAAAATAAATATTTCTAATAAGACTAGTCTCTTTTTTCATTTTCATTATTTGATAACTAAGATCATTACTATATCAATTCTTTTTCCAAGAACCAAAGAAGAGAATTAAATAACTTAAATTTTAGTAGATGAAAATGGAGAATGGACTGTTCCTCAATCCTAGAACAAGAATCATACTGGAGACAAAGTTCTTTTTATTTATTTATTATTTTTTTATTTTTTGAGACAGAGTTTTGTTCTTGTTACCCAGGCTAAATAAAGTGGAGTGGTATGATCTGGGCTCACTGCAACCTCTGCCTCCTGGGTTCAAGCGATTCTCCTGCCTCAGCCTTCCAAGTAGTTGGGATTACAGGAGTCCATCAGCATGCCCAGCGAATTTTTGTATTTTTAGTAGAGACTGGATTTTGCCCTGTTGGCCAGCCTGGTCTCGAACTCCTGACCTCAGCTGATCTGCCCACCTTGGCCTCCCAAAGTGCTGGGATGGCGTGAGCCACCATGCCAGGCCTGATAAAGTTGTTAAGAATTTCATCCTGCCTGGCCTGGTGGCTCATGCCTGTAATCCCAGCACTTTGGGAGGCTGAGGTGGGAGGATCACGAGATCAGGAGATTGAGACCATCTTGGCCAACAGGGTGAAACCCCACCTCTACTAAAATAATAATTTTTAAAAAGCCAGATGTGGTGGCACTTGCCTATAATCGCAGCTACTCAGGAGGCTGAAGCAGGGGAATCGCTTGAACCCAGGAGGCAGAGGTTGCAGTGAGCCAAGATCACACCACTGCACTCCAGCCTGGTCATAGAGCAAGACTCCATCTCAAAAAATAAATAAATAAATAAAAAACAGCTGGGCGTAGTGGCTCACACCTATAATCCTAGCACTTTGGGAGGCCGAGGTGGGTGGATCACCTGAGGTCAGGAGTTCAAGACCAGCCTGGCCATATCATGGTGAAACTTCATCTTTAAAAAAATAAATAAATAAAAATAAAAAATAAAATGAATCTCATCCTTTACTTTTATTACTTTACCGTTTTATGAATCTTGTGCTATACTGACTTTACTTAATGAGTTTCACTCACACTGTCTCTAAGAAACAAGCTACCCTGTGAGAAAAAATATAAACCAAGAAGGATGAACATATAAATCCTCCAGTATAAGTTCAAGTACCATCTTCTCCAGGGAGTTTTCTTGATTCCTGAAAGGTAAGGGTAATCTCTCCTCCTCTTATAGTATGTATAGTATGTGATTTTCTTTGTTGTCTCATTCAATATTATACTGTGTAAATATCTTATCTCCTCTAACACATTAAAGACATCTAGGGCAGGTTGGCGGCTCATGCCTGCAATCCCAGTACTTTGGAAGGCTGGGGTGGGAGGATCAGTTGAGGCCAGGAGTTTGAGACCAGTCTGGCTAACAAAGTGAGATCCCATCTCTACAAATTTTTTTTTTTTTGAGACGAAGTTTCACTCGTTACCCAGGCTGGAGTGCAATGGCACCATCTCAGCTTGCCACAACCTCTGCCTCCTGGGTTCAAGCAATTCTCCTGCCTCAGCCTCCCGAGTAGCTGGGACTACAGGTGCGCGCCACCATGCCCAGCTAATTTTTGTATGTTTAGTAAAGACAGGGTTTCTCCTTGTTGGTTAGGCTGGTCTTGAACTTCTGAGCTCAGGTGATCTGCCTGCCCGGGCCTCCCAAAGTGCTGGGATTACAGGTGTGAGCCACCACGCCTGGCCACTCTACAAAAATGTTAACAATTAGCCAGAGGTGGTTGTGCAACACCTGTAATCGCAGTTACATGGGAGGCTAGGGAGGAGGATGGCTTGAGCCAGGAGATGGAGTCTGTAGTAAGCTATGATTGTGCCACCAGCCTGCATGGCAGAGTGAGACCTGGCATCCAAGCAAACAAACAAATAAAGGTATTGAAAAATAGGAGCTATTTCTGGTTTACTTTTATCATCCCAATACCAGGCACAAAAAATATGGATTGTAAAATGAAAGAACTAAAAAGCTGAAAAAAACCTTAATGCAAAGTTAACTAACACGGATAATGATAGTACTATTCCCCCAAACTAACCATACAATAATACAAAAAAAATGTATTAGGAGCCGGGCGCAGTGGCGCGTGCCTGTAGTCCCAGCTATTCGGGAGGCTGTGGCTGGAGGATCTCTTGAATCCAGGAGTTCTGGGCTGTGGTGCGCTATGCCGGTCCGGTGTCCGCACTAAGTTTGGCATCAATATGGTGACCTCCCGGGAGCAGGGGACCACCACGTTGCCTAAGGAGGAGTGAACCAGCTCAGGTCGGAAACGGAGCAGGTCAAAACTCCCGTGCTGATCAGCAGCGGGATCGCGCCTGTGAATAGCCACTGCACTCCAACCTGGGCAACATAGCGAGACCCCGTCTCTTTTTTTTTTTTAAGATAGGTTTTCACCATGATGGCCAGGCTGGTCTTGAACTCCTGACCTCAGGTGACCCACCCACCTCGGCCTCCCAAAGTCCTAGGATTACAGGCGTGAGCCACTGTGCCCAGCCCCATCTCTCTCTTTTTTTTTTTTTTTAAATTATTAGGAATCTAAAGTAAAAATAAAATATAGCGCCATTACAGGATTATTCTGTGATTTTTAGGTTTGTACATGACTACTCTACTTTTTACACATTCATAAGATGTAGTATACTATGCTACATTTAGTAGGAAATGACAAGTATAAATGTTTACCACATCAGACTTCAGAGAAAATTCCAAATCCAGGGCCAGTTTTCACAAGAAACCTGAATTGTCCAACATGAGTGGCTGCTCTGAGCAATTTGCCAGTAGAATGTTTGCATATCAAAGAAGCTGTTGCTAGGTAAACACATCACAGAGATCCAAAGACAAAGGGACCTTCTAAAATGTTACAGTAAAACCTGTAGCTCTTTATTTCCCCAATTAATGAAGTGAAAACACAAATGATTTTCAACAAGCTTTGTACACTTAAGTAACCTTAAGAAAGTGATCCCACCAAAAGTGAGCAGTTGTGTAAACATGAAATTCATATTTTTCAGGCCAGGTGTGGTGGCTCAAGCCTGTAATCCCAGCACTTTGGGAGGCCGAGGCGGGTGGATCACGAGGTCAAGAGATCGAGACCACCCTGGTCAACATGGTGAAACCCCATCTCTACTAAAAATACAAAAATTAGCTGGGCATGGTGGCGCGTGTCTGTAATCCCAGCTACTCAGGAGGCTGAGGCAGGAGAATTGCCTGAACCCAGGAGGCGGAGGTTGCGGTGAGCCAAGATCGCGCCATTGCACTCCAGCCTGGGTAACAAGAGCAAAACTCCGTCTCAAAAAAAAAAAATCATATTTTGGGCCTTTCTTTTGTCAAATTCTTGGCTAGGTCAAATTTTTATACTCCAATACATACAATCAAGGTAGAGGTACTTTGAAAGAAGGTGAAATGATGATTCCATTTACTATTCTGAAAGCATAAGATGTGTTAAAAAACTGGAATTCTAATTCTAGGATTTTTTTTTTTTTTTTTTTTTTTTTGAGACAGGGTCTCGCTCTATCACACAGGCTGGAGTGCAGTGCTGAGGTATTGGCTCACTGTTGGGTACCAGCCCCAATCCCGTATGTGGGTGCCCTTAGTCTTGCAGTGATGAGGGATTGAGAAAAGGAAATAAAGGCAGAGACACAAGACTAGAATTTACGGCATGGGTCCAGGGGACCAACGCAAGCACCAGAACCACGCTGGCCCTGAGCTCTGGGCTCCAAACACTTTTATTATGTGCACAATCTCATTGATCTTACTGGCCTGGAAGGGGAGGGTGAGGGGTACGTAAGATAGCCAGTGAGGAGAGCACTTGAGATCCTTCTAAGACATGCTAAACTAATGCTCTGAGCATGTAACAGCGCTTGAGATCATTCTTGGATATGCTAAACTAGTACTCTCAGTTTATCACCGATTGTTATCAGGGTGCACCTGCATCAGTAGTATGACAGATGAGGAGCCACCCTGTCTGACCACACCCAATGCATCAAGGGGCTTTTATCTCCCAAGCATTGAGGACACAGAGCAATTAAAATCACTCCATATTCTGAGAACCTAGGCAGAGCCTGAGGTTCCGTGATCTCTGCCCTGCAAGGCTTTTCTCCTCTTTGTCAGCTCCCATCTGCAAAGACCCTACCCGACCTTGTGAGCAGAAGTCGCCTCCCTTCTCAGAGATCTTTGCACAAGCCTCTTTATGAGACCCTCATGCAGTCATCATGTTGAGAAGGCATTCATGGGACCAGAGAAGTATTGCCTGCTTTGCAACCACGCTGCAGTGTTCCCTGGTGTTACTTTGCTCTTGGATGGTCTTTACCTCAGGCCTCCTGTTGCCGCTTGATTTCTAATTAACTGCACCAATAACATATTTAGTTTGGTGTATAAACTTCAGTGTACTCTAAGCCAAGCAAGCTTATAATTATTTAGCTAGAATTAACATAGGTCTCCCGCTGGCCATCTTGACCCATAGCTCACTGAAACCTCTGCCTCCCAGATTCAAAAATTCTCCTGCCTCAGTCTACCAAGTAGATGGAACTACAGGCACGTGCCACCATGCCTGACTAATTTTTTGTATTTTTAGTAGAGATGGGGTTTCACCATATTGGACAGATTGGTCTTGAATTCCTGACCTCAAGTGTTCCACCGCCTCCGCCTTCCAAAGTGCTAGGATTACAGGTGGCGTGAGCCACCTCGCCTGACCTTAGGAAAATATTTTTACAGCAGAGAAAGTATGTCCAAATTTGTATTCCTGATACCAGAATCACCAGGAATATTCTTCATACATCATCTTATCTTCAAAAAATAATGAACCCTGACCTCACCCAAGTTCTGATTTAGTTGGTTAACATTGGAACCTAGACATAAATATATTTTTTAAAGCTATACTAGTTGGTCTAATGTGAATTTACTGCTAAATTCACTATAATTGAAGACAGTGTTCACTGTCTATAATTATGTATGATAAAAATGAATTGGAGAGAAACAAGTTATGTTTATAGGAATAAGAGTAATAGATAATAACTAAACCAATAGAATAAGAAATAGGCCAGGTGTGGTGGCTCACCCCTGTAATCCCAGTGCTTTGGGAGGCTGAGGCAAGTGGATCATAAGGTCAGGAGTTTGAGACCAGCCTGATCGACATAGTGAAACCCCATCTCTACTAAAAATACAAAAAATTAGCCAAGCATGGTGGCAGGCACCTGTAATCACTGCTACTTAGGAGACTGAGGCAGGAGAATCCCTTGAACTCAGGAGGCAGAGCCAAGATTGCACCATTGCACTCCAGCCTGAGCAACAAGAATGGAACTCCACCTCAAAAAAAAAAGTATGAAAGCGATCTTACATGTCTATGCATATGTATCTTCTGTTCCTTTAACAACTGCATCCATACTGACAGAGATTTTATTGTTTTTTGCTGTTGAAATCAGTGCTGTGTGATTAACACTTTTATACTTTTATTTATTTATTTATTTTTTGAGATGGAGTTTCACTGTTGTTACCCAGACTGGAGTGCAATGGCACGATCTCGGCTCACCGCAACCTCCACCTCCTGGGTTCAAGCAATTCTCCTGCCTCAGCCTCCCGAGTAGCTGGGACTAGAGGTGTGCACCACCAGGCCCAGCTAATTTTTGTATTTTTGGTAGAGATGGGGTTTCACCACATTAGCTAGGCTGGTCTTGAACGTCTGACCTCAGGTGATCTACCAGCCTCTGCCTTCCAAAGTTCTGGGATTACAGGTGTGAACCACCTCACCCAGCCTATACATCTTTCTTTGTATGTAAATAATACTTTAAGATAAATTCCTAAACTGGGCGAGGTGGCTCATGCCTGTAATCCCAATGTTTTGGAAGGCCAAGACTTGAGGATGGCTTGAGGCCAGGAGTTGGAGACCAGCCTGGGCAACATAGACCCTGTCTCTACAGAAAAATGTTTTAATTAGTCAGGCGTGGTGGTACATGCCACCTATAGTTGGGACTATAGGTCCCAACTACTCACGAGTTCAAGGTTGCAGTGAGCTATGATTGTGTTACTGCACTCCAGCCTGAGTGACAGAGTAAAATCCTGCCCCCCCACCAAAAAAAAATTTCTACATGTAGAATTATAAGGTCAAAGTAATTACAAATTTAAAATTTTCAGGTATCAAAAAGTTGTAAAAACAGAGCCTCTGCAAAAAGTAAACACATTTTTTTCTAGCAACTGCCTTTAGAAGCATTAAATAAAAATGTCTGTTCTCTGTGAAAGGTTGATTCTCATTCTTTATTTGACCAATTTGCAACAGTTGACAGAATTAATTACCCTTTTTTCCACGAAACACATTCTTCACCTGAGTTCTTTTCTTTTTTTGAAGGTGGAGTCTCACTCTGTTGCTCAGGCTGTAGTGCAGTGGCATGATCTTGGCTCACTGCAACCTTCATCCCCTGAGTTCAAGCAATTCTCTGGCCTCAAACTCCCTAGTAGCTGGGATTATAGGCATGTACTAACACATCCAGCTAATTTTTTTTTTTTTATTTTTAGTAGACAGAGGTTTCGCCATGTTGGTCAGGTTGGTCTTGAACTCCTGACCTCGAGTGATCTGCCTGCATCGGCCTCCCAAAGTGCTGCGATTACAGGTGTGAGACACCGTGTCAGGCCTCTTCACTTGTCTTCTAATGTGGGATGCTCGTGGGGTTTTCCTCAGAACACACTGGACTCTCCTTTTAAGAGACAGGTCTTGCTCTGTCGCCTAGATTAGAGTGCAGTGGTATGATTATAGCTTACTGAAGCCTCCAACTCCTAGGCTCATGGGATCCTCCCATCTCAGCCTCCTGAGTAGCTGGGACTACAGGCACATGCCACCACCCAGCTAGCTTTTTTATCTTTTTAAAATTTATTACTATGTTTTATTATTATACTTTAAGTTCTGGGATACATGTGCTATTTTTTTTTTTAAGACGGGGTTTCACCATGTTGGTCAGGCTGGTCTTGGACTCCCGACCTCAGGTGATCTACCCATCTTGGCCTCCAAAGAGCTTGGATTACAGGCATGAGCCACCAAGCCCGGCCAATTTTTTTAAATCTTTGTTTATTTATTTTTGAGATGGAGTCTTGCTCTGTTTCCCAGGCAGAAGTGCAGTGGCTCACTGCAACCACTGCCTCCCAGGTTCAAGGCATTCTCCTGCCTCAGCCCCCCAAGTATCTGGGATTATAGGCACCGGCCATCATGTCCAGCTAATTTTTGCATTTTTAGTAGAGATGGGGTTTCTCCATGTTGGCCAGGTTGGTCCGAACTCCTGACCTCAGGTGATCTGCCCACCTTGGCCTCCCAAAGTGCTGGGATTACAGGCAAATTAAAACATTTTTATTTTTGTAGAGACAGGGTCTTGCTATGTTGCTTGGGCTGTTCTACAAACTCCTAGATTCAAGTGATCTTCCTGTATTTGGTCTCCCAAAGTGCTGGGATTAGTAAAGGTGTGAGCCATAGCCCCTAGCTGGACTCTCCTTTTCAATCTTCCCTCCTGATTATTCCTGTCTCCTTGCATTCTGAACACTGAAATGTTCTAGGTGTCAGTCCTTGGTCCTCTCTCTACCTACACCCATACTCTTGGTGGGATCTCATTCAATCTCATGGATTTAAATATCTTCTCTCCATTTGAATGTCTAAGAAAAATCTTAAAATGTCTAAAGCTAAATTGATAATCTTAGCCCCAAAACCTAATCCTTCTATGTTTTACCTTATTTCAACTCAGCAAATGGCAATTCCATCTTTTCAGTTGCTCAAAGCAAATTATTGCTTTCTCTTTTACATTCCAAGTTCCTCTCCTCATTAATGTTTATGCTCAACTCAGATGCCCAGATAAATCTCTGTTACCAGATTTCTGAGACAACAACACTCTCCCACCTCCCAACATCACTGCCTATCCTCTTAGCTTGCCTATTTTTAAAATATAGCATGTCATAATCTCTAAAATTAGCATATGTATTTCTTTACTTGATCATTGTCTCCTCTACCAGAATATGAGCTGAGAGCAGAAGCTTTGCTCGTTCACTAGGGTATCTCTAGCACCTAGAGAAGTGCTATGGCAGAGTGACCATTCAACAATAATTTGCTCCATGAATGAATGAATTGTACAACTTATACATAGATACTATTGTCAAAAACCAAGCTGTTGAGATGGCAAAGGCAATAGATTTAGAGATGAAACATCAGGTTTGGGGCCTATACCAGCCACAGCTATGTAGCTTTGGGTGGTATCCTTCAAAGTCTATCCCCATCTGTAAAATGGGGTTTCTGCCATCTTCCTCAACAAAAAAGAAAGCTGGACTAGTCAATATCTATTTGGTATTAAAAGATACAAAAGATTCACTATCTGCAATTTACAAGAAATATTTCCTTCAATTTTCTTCTTAATTTCACTTGTTTAGGTACAACACAATATGAGACAATGTGTTTAGGGGCTATCACTACAATATCATTATATTACTAAGTCTGTGCGTTTAATGTATCACTTGTGCAAATTTTAAGAATAGTAAAGTAGGTCAGGCACGGTGGTTCATGCCCAAAATCCCAGGATTTTGGGAGGCCGATCCAGACCAGTCTGGTCAACAGTGAAACCCTGACAGTACCAAAAATACAAAAATTAGCCGGCATGTTGGCATGGGCCCGTGGTCCAAGCTACTTGGGACGCTGAGGTGGGAGGATCATTAGAACCCTGGAGGTGGAGGCTGCAAAGAGCAGAGATCACGCCACTGCACTGCAGCCTGAGCGACAGAGCTAGACTCCATCTTTTTTTATTTTATTTTTTTAAGAGACAGGGTCTCGCTATGTTGCCCAGGCTGGAGTGCAGTGGCTATTCACAGGCACGATCCCACTACTGATTAGCACGGGAGTTTTGACCTGCTCCGTTTCCAACCTGGGTTGGTTCACCCCTCCTTAGGCAACGTGGTGGTCCCCCACTCCCGGGAAGTCACCATATTGATGCTGAACTTAGTGTGGACATCCAATCGGCATAGCACACTGCAGCCCAGAACTCCTGGGCTCAAGCGATCCTCCCACCTCAGCCTCCCGAGTAGCTGGGACTACAGGTGCGCGCCACCGTGCCTGGCGAGACTCCATCTTAAAATATATATCTATGTAGAAAGAATTACCAGAAACAGAAAATCATCAAAAAATTTCCTATTACTTTGATGTTTGCACAACTCCGTAAGTATACTAAAAATCAATGACTTTTACGGTATGAACATTATACAAAGATCATACATAATAAAACGTGTAATGAAACAGATTATCTAATTCCATATATGGGGCTACTATAAATAACTTCAGAATTTAAAAATAGGAAACAAATACTAAAAGCTTCAAAACTTAAAAAAAAAATTTGTTTTAGATGAGCTCTGCCATTAGTTGAAACAGGCCACTATCAGGAACGGCTTGTAAAAGAAACCCGTTATCTGGTCAAGTCCTAAGTGAACTGAACTACGTATCTTCAAGACCATACTGGGATGACTGCAACCTACGAGCAGTTCCTCGAGCAGAGCAAGCACATTCATTCGACTCAGTAACTCAAGGGGCCAGTGCTCTCCAGCATCCCCCTTGCCATCGCCCTGTCAGGCTCCCCAGGCAATCGCTTATATTATTCCTTCTCCAGCGTGGACGCCTACGGGGAGAGAGCGTCCCCTCTCGACGGTCAACTGGCATCTATTTAGCTTATGAAGCCCGCGTGGGTTCTCCAACCCCATGCCTGCCGGGGGACTGGGTATGAAGCCCGCGTGGGTTCTCCAACCCCATACCTGCCGGGGGACTGGGACGTGGGGGTGACAAAATCTAAACTACGACCCTCCCTGAGCCCTGGCAACTCCGGGGTGACCCCGACACCGAGGGGGCCACGCGCGCTCCGGCTCCGACACCCCTTCCAGCTCCGCGGGGCCTAAAACAACCGGCTGCGCTTCACCCACGGCTGAGCATCAGATTCAGCTGAGGAGATTCTAAAAGCGCGGCGCTGGGCCCACAACCAGGCCCTCCAGAGCACAACGCGGAGGGGGCCCGACCCAGTCTGGTGGCGTCGCTGTGTGACAAAGTCGGAAGGCGAGCCAAGCTCCTCAGTTTCACATCTGTGGAGTCTTGCGCCCGCCACGTTCCGGCGCGGGGACCCGCCCAAACTTCCCTGGAAGCCAGGCGCCTCACACCACTGCACCGCGCCCCCAGGGCCTGGGCGGATACCTGAGACCCACCTCCCAAACCCGCGAAACTGTCCTCCTTCCCGCGAGACTGCCCCGCCCCAGCACCGCCCCGCAGCTCTACTCCCTGATTGGCTGGAATTGGCGCCGGGTTCCGGAGTCCTTTTCGAAAAAAAAAAAAAACCTATTCTGGTTTCCCGCCGAATACAAAGGCACACTCTGGACTGGCTCTTTCCTTCCGCCAATCATTTCCACCAGCCATTCATCACCGATCTTCTTCTTCCTTCCCTCTTCCGTCCCGCTGTCCAGGACCCGTTAGCTCTCAGCTAGTTCAGGGACTCAGGGCCTTCCGGGCTGCGCATGCGCCACCGCGTCTGCGGGGGACGAAGTGGGGCGGGGGCGCAGGCGCAATAGTGTGATCCCTCTGGCCAGTTCTTAAGCACGTGGGTTGGGCTGTCCCGCTTGGCTGTGGAGGCAGTGAAACCTCGATATTGGTGGTGTTTATCGTGAGCGGCGGACTAATAAAGGCCATGGCGCCAGCAGAAATCCTGAACGGGAAGGAGATCTCCGCGTAAGTTCCTGACATTGTGATTGAGTGTGGGGCTGTGGACGAGGGCTCCGAGGGTGTGCAGGTCTCCCGGACCCATTTTTTGCAGGAGGGACACTTGGAGCGGAAGAGGCAGGCTCATAATACCTGAAGACCTGCAGCCAAAGACCGCGGCCACAACCTGCGTTTGCAAGTGTACTGCCTAGTGGCTGTAGACGCTGTCTCCTGTGCTTTGGGAAAAAGTCCCGTGACGACATGCTTCCAAACGCGCAGCTGCTGTTGACTTTCTGCCAGGAGAGAGAGGGTAGTTGCAGCTTTCTGGAGGCGCCCCCCCAAAAAAAAAAACTCAGAAATCCAATCTACTTACTTACTTCTCGTTAATTTGGAGGTAATAGTGAGGTGACAAGCCTTGACAAGACTACAAGGCTGTTAGTGACAGAGGGTCCTTCCAGCTCATAGCTTTTCCCACTACACCATAGTTTTATCATACAGTAAGTGAAATCTAATACCATTTTCCTTTTTCTTGAATCTCGTGCTTCTCTCTAACAGCCATCTCTCTTCCCTGGTCCTAGAGTTACTTTCAACTTAGTTTGGCTCCTGAGTCCTGAGAATATTATGCATTCCACTTGACCTCTGCCTGTTTTACCCTTGTGCGACATCTGAATGCTTAACTAGTGGGTATCGTTGCCAGCTTTACTCCCAGGAGGAGAGAAAGATATATTCCCTCTAGTAGAGGAAGGAGGGAAAGATATTCTGTGTGACTATACTGAGGTTGCTCTTGGGACCTTTCACATCACCAATTATTTAAGTAACTGTCACAGCATTTACTAAATAGTAGTTGTCCTGTAACTCCTAACTTTGTAATAGAGGTTTCTGAGTGCATTGGAAAGTCACTGGTGAAACAGTCGGGAGCGGTCGTGGCTCACTCCTGTAATCCCAGCACTTTGGGAAGCCAAGGTGTGTGGATCACCTGAGGTCTGGAGTTTGAAAACAGTCTGGCACTTACTACTTGCTAAAAGGAATTTCATAAGCTTTTCTTTTTTCAGACAGGGTCTCACTGTATTGATCAGGTTGGAGTGCAATGGTGCGATCTTGTCTCACTGCAACCTCCACCTCCTGGGTTCAAGCAATTCTCCCACCTCAGCCTCCCAGGTAGCTGGGATTACAGGCATGCACTACCATGCTTGGCTAATTTTTGTATTTTTAGTAGGGATGGAGTTTCACCATGTTGATCAGGCTGGTCTTGAACTCCTGACCTCAAGTGATCTGCCCACTTCAGCCTCCCAAAGTGTTAGGATTACAGACATGAGCCACTGCGCCCAGCGCTTTGCTTTTTCTTTATAGTCTTCCTCTCACTACTGTTTCCCACCCCACTGATAATGCTATCCCTGACTTTTGTCTTCTATTATTACTCTCCTTTTATACCTTCCTGGGAGCTCGGATATTGACAAAGTTCAGCACTCCAGATTCCTTCTCTACCTGCTCTACTCTGAGAAATTGGGTACTTACATGATGATTTAGTTGCCAAATTATCTTCCATTGGAAGTAACAGCCCCATTTCTTCCTCACGGGGAATTCTAAGGTTGCAGCCTGAATTTGACAACTGGGGGTTGTCTGAGAGTTAGAGACAAGTGTCTGTTCTTTGTGGGTATTTATTCAGTTATTCAACAAGTATCTGTGTGTGTCTCCTAAGCCAGGCAGTCTTCAAAGCTCTGAAACTCTTAACAGTGAACAAAACAGCCCAAATCCCTACCTTGGTGAAATTTGCATACTGATGGGTAGAGACAGACATTTAAATAGGTGAAACAGATTGTGAGGTGGTGGGAAGCACCAAGAGAACACCAGAGCAGAAAAGAGGGACAGGAATTTCTGTGGCCCATGGTGGCTGCAATTTTAAATTATGAGAGTCGTACTTTTTGTAAAAGTGACTTACAGCCAAAGACTTGAAGGAGGTGGGGCCTTGAGCCTGCCAATGTTGTGGGGGAAATATCTCCTGACCAAAACACAGCCTGTGCCATAGACCTTTGGCCTCACCAGTTAGTAAATTACTGCTTTGGGGGTCAATAGCAATGGCCCTGTGACAAGCTGACTGAATAGAGGCTCCTGAGTGGAGGAACCTGACTGCCCTGGGCAGAAGGGCGGTGTCTTTTAAAAGATTATGCCAAGGGGGAGAAGGATGTGCATTAGATAGTGTTGGAAGACCCATCTTGCATAGTTGTTCTGTATGTGTGTCTTTCAAAGGGGGCTTACTACCTTTCTATGATTTGTTTGGCTCTCCCTTCCCTTAGTTTGCCATAATTAAGCCTGCTCTCTCCATTGGTGGCATTTTTCTTAAGTCTCCTTTCTAAAAAGACTGGTTGTGAAGAGGCATATGGTTAGAGTAGGTGCTGCAAGGCAAGTTGGATAGGTTTGTAAGCTCAGCTGTGGATGGTAGCTTCAGAGCTTAAGCCCAGAGCTGCCCTCTCCATGCATCACTGGGCAATGGGAATTTACCTATTTGTGCCTTAGCTTCTGTATATTGGGGTAGTAATGACACCTAACTCATAAGGTTAGAATTCAATGAGTTAATACCTGTAAAGCATTTAGAGAAGCCCCTGGCACATGGTAAATTTTAATAAATAGGTACTTAGAAAGTATTCATCAAACAAACAAGTGATGTTTATGTTTATCCAGCCTGTACCTTTGGAAGCTGGTTTATAATCTTGAGACTTAGGATTTATCCTAGTGCTCAAAGATAAAAGTCTGGAACCTTGGCTGTACATTTAGCTACAGGGCTAAAACTGTTTTTGTAAAGGTAATTTGCTTACCATAGTGAAGGGCAGGTCTTCTTGGTTACTGAATTAACATGGTTATCCATAGCTTTTACTTTGTCCTATAGATTAAATACATGTAAGCCCTTTTGTGCTTAAAAAGATTTGTGTGGGCGGGGCACAGTGGCTCATACCTGTAATCCTAACACTTTGGGAGCCTGAGGTCAGAGGTTCGAGACCAGAACCCCTCTCCCCAACTTCTCTACTGAAAATACAAAATTACCTGGGCGTGGTGGCACATGCCTGTAATCCAGGTTACTTAGGATACTGAGGCAGGAGAATGACTTGAACCTGGGAGTGGAGGTTGCAGTGAGCTGAGATGGTGCCATTGACTCCGGCCTGGGCGACAAGAGTAAGACTCCTTCTTAAAAAAAAAAAAAAAAAAAAAAAAGATTTGCCTGTAATGAACTACAAAGTGCAGGAGGTTGCTCAAAAGTTAACATGGAAACTTGAATGTCATAGCTGGCTTGATTCTGGAAGACTGTGCAGGAGAGCAGGTCAGAGTTCCAGAGAGAGTGGGACCTCCAGCTAGGAGGAGCCCACACAGCCAGGCTGTTGGCCGGGTTGCAGTGAGTGTGACAGAGCCCAGGGCTGGCAGCCAGCTGCTGTGATCATGGCACCTTCGAAGGGGGATGTGGTTTGCAAATAAGTGTCTGTCCTTGTTCATCAGGGGGGTTGGGATTAGGTAGTTTGGGATTTGGATAGTGGGGTTTTGAGCAGGGGTATGTGGTTCCTGGTTATATCCCCCCACTTGCATGAAGAATCTTCTAGAAAGAAAGCTGGCTGCCAGGTGCGATGGCTCATGCCTGTAATCCCAGCACTTTGGGAGACTGAGGCAGGTGGATCACGAGGTCAGGAGTTCCAGCCTAGCCAACATGGTGAAACTCCATCTCTACTAAAAAATACAAAAAATTAGCCAGGCATGGTGGTGGGCACCTGTAATCCTACCTACTTGGGAGGCTGAGGCAGGAGAATCACTTGAACCCAGGAGGCAGAGGTTGCAGTGAGCCAAGATCATGCCACTGCACTCCAGCCTGGGCAACAGAGGGAGTCTCCATTTCAAAAAAAAGCTGGCCTAGCACAGAGGAGGGTCGTTGGAGTAGAGGGAAATGGCTCCCTTCTCCTCTAATTGTCAGTAGAGTTTGGTAGAATAGAGGTTAGAGGGCAGGGACTCCTTATGTGACCTTGGAAAAGTTAGCCTCACTTTCCTCTCTGTGCAATAGGGATGATGAGAACTGTCGACTTCCTGAGGTTGCCCCAAGGATTCAAAGAATGTAAGATTCTCAGAACGAGCTTCTGTGACATCCCATCCACAGTGCAGAAGGCCCCCATTCCCCTTAAAAAACTGTAAGGTTTGCTCTCCTTTGCTCCTCTTAATAGACTAAAAAGTGGCTTCTGGCACCCTGTAAATCCTTGACCTTGAAGAATTGGGGTGTTAAGGGTGCCACAGTCAAAATTCCTCAGCCACTCAGCTATTACCCTTCCCCTCGATTTTGCAGTTTATGGGGAGGGGGGAAGGGGCCAAGAAAAAAAGTTTTGCAATTGATGAAACTTTAGCCAGAAGCTCAGTGACTTGCCTGGGTGTTCCAAGGCTGGTGGTAGAGGCTCCATGGTGCGTTTTCCTTCCCTTCCATGGGCTTGTCACTGGCTTGCTAGAAGGAATTGCAAACTTCTGCCCCCCAGCAGGAGACATCCTGGCTTTAGTTCTCCCTGAGGCCCTTCCATTATGAGGAAATGATTCCACCTATCAGTCTGGTTGGGAAGCACCCAAACAGATTCTCTGAAGTCATTTTTTGAGGTTATAGTCATTTGAGGTTAT